ACCTTCTGTGTGCACTCTTCCGGGATAGCGCGCCAGATATGTTTGCCTTGGTGGCATTGCAGCGCCCATTTCATGGAAAAAGGCGCAATTCCAGGACAGCCTTGTTTGGTGCGGTTGGGAGATCAACTTCTCCCACGACACCATTCAGCTTGTGTCCGCTAAGCTGACCAAGCTGGACGCCTTGATCAAAGCACTGCTGGGGAACCGACGGGTACCCCGCAAAACACTCGAGCAGTGCATAGGCCTGCTCATTTGGGCCACCAGCATTGCCCTACATCTGAGATCCTGGCTAGCGCCACTATACTCGGACCTCAACAGCCCACCAGGCTCGATGCACTCGATACCGCCTCAAATGTGGTCAGCTTTGAACAAGGATCTCAAAACTAGCCATAGCCTTCCGGGCTTGTGGATCACAGTGGGCTCCAAAATCTTGGAAATTTCGGGTCGCACCATGCACTGCCCTCAGGACATCCCGCAAGTGCCTGGCACTAGCAAACCCACATGGGTGCGCATCGCGGACCCCAATAACCCATACACTAGCCTTTCCAAGTCAAGCCAACAATGCCTTACTTGGCTGGCGTTGTGCTTTCCGCACTCCCCTGTTCAGCCCTGGCGCGGCCACACCAGCTGCAAGCTCTGGCTGCCGCGGATGCGTGTGCCGAAGACGACTTGGTAGGGATCGGGGGCTGGGCAATCGCATCCTCCCAAGTGGTTTGGTTTGCCGAGACCTGGAACATGCAGGACATACGAGCCGTGTGGCCTTGCCTTGTCAAGCCTGGACAGCGGTACATCGCATGCTTCGAGACGCTGGCGCAGTTAGCACTACTGCAAGCAACCCACAGCCACATTGGTGGTGGGCGCTACTCGTTCAGCATGCCTTCAGGCACGGACAATTCCGCAACGGAAGCAAGCCTTAACAAGTTGTTCACGACCTCCTGGCCGTTGCAACTCTTCGTGCAGTCAACAGCCTTCTGGGCTCACGCTCACAATGTGCTGCTGCAGCCGACGCACGTTCCAGGAAGGTGCAATGATTGGGCAGACGATCTCAGCAGAGGTCGGTTGGCCCGATTCCGCCATCGCCCTGAAAGTCGCATACGCTTCAGCCCTGCGGGCCTAGCAATGTCAGGCCGAGGCATTCAGCTGTGTCCGATGCATGCGCCCTGGCGCCCGGAGCATTTGGCAGCTGCCTCCGTCACTGCTTAGCCAGCCTTATTTGCATCCCGACATGCCTTGCGACCAAATGGCCGTCGTCGCCCTGTCAGCCAGAACAACTGGCAGGGGGGTCAACGCGCCTCCTGTTCCAGGCGCACCAGTGCCCTGGAAGCAGTGCTACTTTCAGCAAACTGCGGCCGCTTCGGACTTGTGTTTGGGTTCAAGCTAGGAGCAGTGCAACATGCCTTAACGCTTAGGGTTTCTTTTCCCTTGTGTTTAGGGCATGTTGTGAATCGAACTACGCGTTGGCCGTTTTGGCCTTGACCCAAACCTGCGGTTTCATTTGAAACCCACCCACCCACCCTGCACTGCCTTATACAAGGCTCTGCAAGTATAGGTAGCAGACGCTCTGCACTTTCATTGGTGGTCTCCGGGCCTCTTGGTCTCCGGACCAGGTCTCCGGACCAACTCTGGTCTCCGGACCTCGGGTCTCCGGACCTTTCGGTCTCCGGACCTTGGGGCGTGGGCACGCATGCCGCGCCCCGCAAGCACTGCATTTATATGCAAGGACACGCATTGTCTTGCCTTTTTAAATTTCGGGGGGGTCAACGCGCCTCCTGTTCCAGGCGCACCAGTGCCCTGGAAGCAGTGCTACTTTCAGCAATCCCGGTAAAAAGAACTGCGGCCGCTTCGGACTTGCTTTGTTCTTTTGGGGGTTCATGTTTGGGTTCCAGTGCAACATGCCTTAACTTGGAGGGGTCCACTGGCGAGCTGGCCCGGCCCCCAGAAAATTCCGGAAAATTTCTGGGGATAGAAAAGCGCTCGGAGCACTAGACGAGCGCTAGACGAGCACTAGACGGAGCTCAACAAGCGCTGGACAGAACACTAGCTAGACAAGCACTGGGCGAGCCGAGCACTAGACGCGCGCCAGAAGAGCATTAGGGAGGGCGCAAGCCACCCCCGGAAATTTCTGGAACATTTCCGGGGATAAACAAGCGCTAGACGGGCGCTAGACGGGGCACAAGACGAGCACTGGGCGAGCGCTAGACGAGCACTAGACGAGCACTAGATGAGCACTAGACAAAGCTCTAGACGAGCACTAGACGGAGCGCTCGACGGAGCACTGACGAGCACAGACGAGCATTGAAGGCTTCTGATAAGGCTTTTTCTCAAGGCTCCACAAGGCTCCTTCGAGGGCTCATTGCGAAGCTCCCTATAAAGCTCCTTCTGAAGATTTTTTGTAGCATTTGGAGCTCCAAATTGCAAATTCTTTCCATTGAGCTAAAATGCGTCATTTCCATATAAACTCTAGCAAAGAGCGGCAATTTCCATGGCCAGCCCGAAAATTTCGCTTTTGGAGGTCCAAATGGCAAATTCTCCATTTCAGCAAAACTGTCTTTTTCAGATAAACTCTAGTAAAGAACGGCAATTTTCCAGGCCCAAGCCTAAATGTTCCTTTTGGAGCTCCAAATGGCTAACTCTCTCCGTTTCAGCCAAAATGTATCATTTTTATGTAAACTCTAGTAAAGAACGATCATTTCCAGGGCCAACTCCAAAATGTCGCTTTTGGAGCTCCAAATCACAAGTTTGAGCCAAAATGTATCATTTTTGATATAAACTCTAGCAAAGACTCGCAATTTCCATGGCCGGCTCCAAAATGTCGCTTTTGGAGCTCCAAATGGGAACTTCTCTACATTTGAGCCAAAATGTGTCCTGAATCCTAAACCTAAAAACCATAAACCTAAATCCTAAACCTAAAATCCTAAGCCTAAATCCGAAAACTCCTAAATCTAAAAACCCTAAGCCTAAATCCTAAATAAACCGAACCTAAATCCTGAGCCTAAATCCTAGACCTAAATCCGTGACCTCGTTCCTGAGCCCAAATCACACACCCAAATCCTAAACCTTAAAAGGCACCCCGCCAGCAGGAACCCTAAAAGACCCGCCAGCAAGAACCCTAAACGGCGCCCCACCAGCAGGAACCCGAAAAGACATCCCCCCAGCAGGAACCCTAAAAGGAATCCCGCCAGCAGGAACACTAAAAGGCGCCAGCAGGAACCCTAAAAGACATCCCGGCGGCAGGAACCCTAAAAGCAAAAAAACCAAAGCCCAACGCCAAAAGCCAAAACCAAAAGCCAAAACCAAAAGCAAAAAACCAAATCCAAAAGCCAAAAGCCAAAACCTAAATCCTAAACCAAAACCTAAACCTAAAAACCCTAAGCCTAAATCCTAAACCTAAACCCTAAACCTAAAAAACCTTAAACCTATAAACCGTAAAACCTCAAAACCCTAAACCCAAACCCTAAACCTAATTCCTAAACCTAACAATCCTAAACCTAAAAACACCTTAAACCTATAAACCGTAAACCTAAAAATCCTAAACCCAAATCCCAAACCTAAAAACCGTAAACCTAAAAACCCTAAGCCTAAATCCTAAACCAAATTCCTAAACCTAAGTCTTCAACCTAAATCCTAGACCTCAAAACCCTAAACCTAAATCCTAAACCTAAATCCGAAACCTAAACCCTAAACCTAAAACTTCCATACCTAAAAACCCTAAGCCTAAATCCTAAACCTAAATCCTAAACCTAAAAACCATAAACCCAAACCCTAAACCTAGTTCCTAAACCTGAATATCCTAAACCTAAAAACCCTAAACCTAAAAACCCTAAACCTAAATCCTAAACCTAAAGCCTAAACCTAAATCCCAGACCTAAATCCGTGACCCCCCAAAAAGAGGAAAAGCAACCTGAGAACGCAAAAACAGGAAAAGCAACCAACAAGGTCTGGAAACCTACTTCCAATCGGGCAATTGCATTGCTGCTAGAACTGTTTTGGGCAAAATAAACAACGTAGCTGCATCGATGTTTCACATTGGCACAGGTTTGGCGGCATGCAACAAAATGCCACGGATCTTTGAAGCAATGATGTGGGCATGTCGCGGGTTTGCTGGGATCCTTCCACTGAAGTCAGGGCCAAACGCTTGGCGAATTGGCATGTGTTGTCCATGTGCCGTTGGTTGTTCTATGACGGCCATTCTTTGCCATGGTGAGGAACCTGAATGCAACATAATTATTTGCCCACCTTTCTGACGAAATGTGACATCGCCAATCGAGTGGCAATCTTTCCCACACAACAAACATTCTTGGCTGCATGGGCGCGCGGCATTTAGGCTGACTTGAGCTCTTCAGGCATTGCTAACAACTGGGTTTGCACCGCAAATGCTTTCGCTCATATAATCCGTTTCATTTTGTTGTCAAAACCAATGTGCGTTGACAAGAATTCAACAACATCTTGCTAGAATGACATGTTAATCTCATATGCATCTTGCAAGCAGCTGGCAGTGAAGATCCACCGAGCTTCCCATGTCGGCTGGCAAAGCCGCCGGAATGGTTGGGGACCTTGGCAGTCTTGTGTGTCCCAGCGATTCCCGTGTGAGTTGAGCATGTGATGCAAAACGTGTGCCACGCAACGTCGGCACAGGAAAGATCCAGCCCCTTGGTCTCAGGCGTCGGATCGCCGTCGGAGAGCCGTCGGATGGACGTCGGATGGTCGGCCTTTTGGCTTTTCGAAGGAATGGATCGACCTCGTGGTAGACGATCCTACCCGCAAGCATCCGTCGGGGGTGCTGCCTGCCGTTGCTCTTTCCGGGAGTTGCTACCAACGTGACATGTGCCTGATACCCGAACAGTCCTTGTGCTTGTGAATATTGCAGTGAAGTATTGGCTCAGGCAGTGTGAGGGGAATGTTGCATGTGCTTAGTAGGAGCCTGATGGCATTGGTGTAAGCTCTCCAAAACGCAAATTGGCTGCATCCTTTGTTGCGGGTATGCGTCTTTGAACCGGGCCATGAGCTCAGGCAGGATTCCAGCTTGTTGAGAGCGGCTGCGCTGCGCAGTGGCTGTCAGGCCTCTTGGCTGACTACGACAGCGATGCTGAGCCGGAAGATCCTCTCAAGGACGCCTGTGAGGCGGGGGAGGATCGAGAAACGCGGCAAGCAGCGCGAGGATGGCTACGAGGCACGACAAGCCATCGCGCGGCAGTTCCTTTGTGAGGCTGGTGCTGATGTGTTGGCCAGTGATTCCGTGGGATCTGCAGGATTTCGATGAGCCCAGTGCTTTAGGCCGCGGACGAGCGGATTTCGTTTCAAAGTCTTGTGTTTGTTTTCTCGGCCTCGGAGCAGCCAGTATCATATCCCTTCTTCGCCAAGTGAGCCCATCATTTTGCGGCCTTGCCTCTTGAAGCAACTCTGCCTGGCTGTTCAGGCTTCGACTGCCAGTGTTGACTGTGGCTTGCCCTGGCCCCACTTGGTTTTGCACAGGAGAGGAATCAGAAGTAGCTGCGGGCGGCGAGCCCGAAGAGCCCGACGAGCCCGAAGAGGGTGAAGATGAAGATATCGATTTGGGCATGTGCATTGATGTGGAACCAGCTGCACAGCCAGAATCTGGCATGCACGCGCTGGACCGCTGGGGGGGGTGGGGAGGGCAGTCTGCTCAAAGAGAGCATCTTTTCACTGTACTTGGGCTGCGCGTGAGGACTCAAACGAGCTAGCTGCAGCCATCCTGGAGGCTGTAAACCAAACACAGTTTCGACAGCAAATGCGGCTGCACAGGCAGAGCTGGATGACGACGAGGAGAAATTGGAAAGTGTGGGTCCTGGTAACTCTCAACATTTGTTTTTTGATCGGCTTGCATTCTTTCAATGTGATGTTAGCTCGGCTTGCATGTCAGGTCTGCGGGCTGAGCTTGCGGAGCGGCAGGCCCGGGAGGCGCGCGGAGAGGCGCCCGGGGCCATGGCCAGACTCTTAGAGCCAATGAGCACGGCTTTGGGTGTGAGGCTCGGTGAGGTCGGTGAGGTGGGACGTGGCAAGGAAAGGCACTTATGCGGGGAATGCGGGGCAAGAGGTCTCCAAAGTGTCCATCACGGATTCAGTGGAAGTGCCGGTACAGGCGGGAGGCTGTGGAGAAACGAGAAATACCCGAATGGCGGAAGGTGATTGGGGCCGTGATCGGGTCTGGTGGCGCAGTCATCAAGCAGCTAGCTGCGCAGCAAGGGCACCTGGAGAGCAAGGGCATTCAGAATCTAGTTTTGTTCTTTGCTTGCCTGACCAAAGGTCTGGGGCCCGGATGTCTTTTGCGCAGGAGGATTACCAACCAGGCAAGGAGTGCCAGGGACAGGAGATGTCCTCAATTTTGCATCTCAGGATACCTGGCTCTCACCCGCCGTTGCTTGATCAGTGGCGCAACAGACGTGGTCGAGAAGGCAGAGGGCTCTTGATATCTCAGATATCTCAGATATCTCAAGCATCTCGTCTTGAGGCCAAAGCGCTGCTCCAGGAGGTTGTGTCTTCTGCCATGGCCGATCAGGATCGGGGTGGGCGGAAAGGCAAAGGAAAAGGAAAGGGCCAGAGAGCGGCCCTTACTTGCCCCTAGCTTCAAGCTCGCTTATTGGGCATGGCCAATTGGGCCAAGGAAAGGGAACACCCACGAACTTGTCAAGCGATTTGCTGGGTGAAGGTGCCGGAGGACGTGCAGCGCTCAAATAAAGAAGAGATCAGGGCAACTTCCTAGTGTGCCTTTGTCGAGAGGTGCTGGATTTCAAGCGGGTATTTGCAAATGGCTTGGCGCTGAGGTTTTTCAGGAGCATCATCGCATCAGCATGTGTTTGATGACACTCTAATGTTGGTCTCCCATCTGACTGACACTATTATGAAAGTGACCGTGTGGGTGCTATACGTCACAACCCATGCAAGGTATGCCGCGGGCTTTTGCCGCAACCGTCCAGATGCCTCGGGGGGCTGCCGAAACGGGCCCGGAGCCCAGAGAAGCTATGGGAGGCTATGGGAAAGCTGGGTGTCGCGGTTTCGCATCTCTGAGGCTGCACAGCACAGATGCCGCGCTGAAGGCGGAGGCAGACTGGGTGGCACAGGGCCCCAGCGGCGGCGTCCAGCCTTCCAGGCGCCAAGAACAGCTTCGTGAGAGCTTCTAGGAGCTTGACATTTCGCTGAGATGAGATGTTTGTATGTGCAGGCCATTGCTTCTGTTGCTGGACTTAGAAGGTGGTGGCAACAAGGTGCGGACTATTGCCACCTCTTGTATTCGGTCAGCACCCCAGCTGGGTGAGGATGGTCGGGATGGCGAGGATGAGATCATCGAGGTGTGCGCTGTTGTTGCTGAGCATGGAAGAATTTGGGTGCCAGGTGCCCATTCTCTCCATGTGCTCTTCTACGGGGTGCCTTGGCGGGCGTTTGGAATGAGTCAAGGCTTTGGCAGTTGCCCTTCGTGGATACGTAGGCAAGTAGGCAGACGCAAAAGGAAGCTTTCTTTTGAAAAAGGTTTGCTGAGCTGCTTAGAGCGTCGGCTTATTCACTCTCATTATGCAGCTCACGGGTGTGGTCAGAGGAAAGAATGTGGCCGATTTCATCGCTTTGCACGGCCCGGATACTGGACGAGGGAGGCCGGACGGTGTGTATTATGTGTGACTTTCGTTGGAATTTCGGAAGGAGTGGTCTATGCGCAATCGCTTTCATGCCGGATGCTTCAACAATGGGGCAAACTCGGTGCCTTTCCCGGAGGCTCGGAACTTGGGTGGTGCAGTGACTCAGAATGACTCAGATCTGTCCCTTCAGGTGGTGCACGCCATACAGAACTGGCTGCGGGACTTGCTGCAGTTGGCCCCCGGGAAAGAGCTCAGGCCGGTCCTATCACTCATGTCCTATCAAGGCATTTTGGATCGCAGGAGTGAGGACTTTCTGTTCGTGACTTGCGGCAACTGGGATGACTCTTGTCTGGACAATACGTTCGAAGGCCCAAAGGCTGAAAAGTCCAGAGTTGCAGGTGGGAGTTGCAGGTGGGAGATGCAGGAGGGAGTGCAAAGAGTGTCCAAGGTGAAGTCCGCCATACCACGGCAATGCAGCAATCCAGTACCAGGCCACTTTTTGCCAGGATTTGAGCACTTTTGTGCTTGAGGGGGCAAAGGAACATACCCAGGAACTGTGGATTACTCGCTGCAGCAGCTGTTGTTCTCGCGGTGGAGCAACTTGAAGGAGGCCCATGAAACCGAATGAAACCGAATGCTGATCCCTTCAGGGAGGCTTGACATAATCTGTGCGAGGTCTACAGAGACTTCTACAAGCTGCCTGATTCGGCAGCTCCCACTGGAATGCGGGGCATGCTGAAGCTCATGAGGCGACATGATGACCATTGCCCTCAGAAGAATGTCTGCTTGGGACATGTGCCGGAGAGCTTTGTCAGGATACCGCTCTCAGGGCAGCACCACTTAGGCCGGGCAAGCGGCAAGCGGCAAGCCTGACTCGGACATTCGTTTTTGACCACTCCTTTTGCAGGCATGGATGACGTCAGCAACTTGGCCAAGATCCTGCAAAGACTCATTCACGAGGGCTGCAAAGTTGAGCCGACAGGCAGGAGTTGAGCTCTGGATCTTTGTTGGGGGTAGCGCTCCCAGGACATAAAGCGCCGGTGGGATTGCCCATGAATGGGAAGAAAGGCGTGGGCTGAGAGCTCGCGGCGGTTTGGACACGAGCTCGTGCCAGGCAAAGGAAAGGGCAAGGACAAGGGCAAGGACAAGGGCAAGGGGAAGGAGGGGAAGGAGGGGAAGGACAGGGGGAAGGACAAAGGGAAGGATGAAGGGTATGGCGTCAACGGCCCTGACATGCATGGCCATGGGCCCGGCAATGGTTGGGGCAAGGCCAGGTGATGCGCTTTGCTTTGTGCCGTCATGTATATCGTTTACTTTGCGGGTGCCAGGCAGAAGGAGGCAAAGGCGAGGACGTCCGAGCCGAGAGAAGCGAGGAAGGCAAGAAAGGGGAAGCTGACAAAGGTGAGGAAGGTGAAGGCAAAGGAGAGGAAGGCAAGCAAAAGAAAATGCGGGAAGATGAGGAAGGTGACGGAGGCGAGGAACTTGAGGAAGGCGGGGAACTTGAGGTGGAGAGACGAACCAAAAACGCAACCAGGACACGTGTTTTGGCGGTGTCCCGGTAGTGTTTTGGTGGCTTGTTGAAATCCGGTTGTGTTGGGGTCATGTTCCATTGGTGTCCCAGTAGCAGTTTGGTAGTGTGTCGGTGGTTTCTGGTGGTGTTTTGTTATTGTTTCGGGGGCTCGCTGGGGTTTTGTGTTTAGGTGTTCCACTCTTTTTGTGGTGCCCTGGTGACGCGTTTGTGGTGCCTGTTTTTTGGCGTGTCCCGGCAGCGTTTCGCTATTGTCGTTGATTTTAGTTTGTCTCGGTGGTGTCCCAGACAAAAACATGTGTCCGAACGATACCCCAACGCTGCCCAAGATACTCTTCAGTAATAATCCTAGCCCATGAGCCAATTTGCCGCACCAAGCCTGCTGTGTCGGGCATCGTTGCCTGGCTGCGAGCACAGGGAAAGCTATGAAAGCTATGAATGCTAACTTTGGCTTTCTCTGCACGATTGGGACCCAAAGCGATACCTGCTCTTGTTCCGGCGCATCGCACCTTTACACCAAGGCCTGAAGCCAGAATTAACACAGCCATCGAACAGTGAATCGGTCATTGTCCTTCCAGACTGCGCTACCACTTTGGGGTCAAGAACCGTCTCAGACACAGAATAGGAGAGATACACATAATTTCTATATACAAAATAGAAATACAAGTGTCTGGCGAAGCAAGATAAATGTGTATACCCATGGACAATACAAGCTAGCTCAAGTTCGCTATTCTTGGAAGACTGCGTACTATTGAACATTGAAGCAGGCTTGAGCCATATGTCGAGTTGGCAGTGAATGGATACTTGTCAGGCAACTGCGGATAGCACGAGAACCACCCAAAGCATGAACAAGCTTGTCCGGAAAAGGGGTTCATATTGCAGGAAGGTCGCTGTCTCCAGCCTTCCGAAAAAGCTCTTCAAGGATATCTGGTTGCAAATTCAAAGTTTCCTAGATGTCCGCTGTCGGAGAAGGCCAGCTATTTTCCAACACGCCGACAGTGAACAACCTAAACAACAGCAACAGCAGCAACAGCAAAAGGAATAGCAAGAATAAACCAGCAATATCAACGAAGAACAGGCGATAAGGTAGCAAAAACAGACACCCACCCTCCATAGTCTTGCTTGCAGATGCTGGACCTCCTCCGCTGAAAGCCCCGAGGCCGAGTTTCAATCTTTCAGCCAACGGGGGTGCAGTGGGTGAGAAAATGCGTCAGGATCTTGAACCCGCCAGTGATGCTGCCAGCACCGACAGGGTCTCTCGCGGAGCCCCCAAGGCGGAGATTGTCTTTTTCGGTCAATGCGGGCACCGGTGGGACGTGCAAACCCCGCCAGGATAGACCCAGCCATGCTGCCAGAGCCGACAGGGTCCCCGGAAGCCCCGAGGCCGAGTTTGTGTTTTCTCGTCAATGGCGGTGAAGTGTGAAGTTGCAGACGTGAAGTGTAGTGGGAGCCAGGATCTCCAGCTTGCTCGGGACCCTGCCGGCGCCGACAGGGCCTCCGCTGAAAGCAGCAAGGAAGTCTTCCGCTTGCTTTTCAAGAGAGGTAAAGTCCAAAAGTGGCCAGGATCTCCAGCTTGCTGGCAACGCTACCGGCGCCAAAAGCAGCTTGCATCACATAGGCTCAGCTATTGACTTTGGATCCTGGGAGACTGAGGCTCGGAGTGATGCAGATGAGCTAATGAACCCTCAGCTTCATGGCTCAAAAACAGGGCCGTGAACGAGCAGAGCGGCTGGCAAGCCATCAGGATTGGCCAAGCATTCAATATCCGCGAGACTTCTCGAGCAGTTGACTGCCTTGGCGCAAAAAGGCTTGTGCCTTTTTGCCACACAAAGTCTTGCTTTGACTCTTTGCTTTCCGTCTGGACCGTCTGCCCGCGCAGGCTGGTTACCAAAGTGGAGCTGGCAAGATTTGGTGAATTGGTCCAGAAAGCGGCCCGGCCGGTGCCAGGTATGACGCCTCCCACAATACCTTCCGCGCTGGGTCCGAGCCTCGCAGGTTGGCGCAGCTCAGTTAGGTTGTCCAATCGCTTAGGCGCGCTCTATCTAGTGGAGGTCGTTTGGCCCTAGCCGCCATGAAAGAGGCTGGCAGTCAGAAGAGAGCAGCAAATCCAAGTTTTTACTTCAGGTGAACATGTCAGAAGCTGCCACATCTTCTTGCTGTTTCCTTTTTCACGCTTTTCCTCACAAGCACCTTTCAGCCTAATGTTATGCATCTCAATTCAGCTTCTGCAGCTGACAAAGATCTTGCCAGCATCAACAGACGAGACCACAGGTCAGAGTTGGACCACACAGTTAAGCTTTGGCTCCTTTGATGCTAGCGGAGAAGCCGACACAAAATGAACAAAGTGACGCACGCGGAAGTCAAGATGTAAGCCAGACGCTGACTCTTGGCAGCTCGCATGACTTTGATTTTGATAGGAGTCTTTGCTTTGATGTCGCGCTAGGCCAAGTGGGATGAGCTGTGGCGACCGTATGCTTGGCAGGATGAAGGTCTCCTAGGAATTCCCTTCACCAAGCGGAATGGTGATTCATGCGTGGGTCTTTGAGGCTCGGTGCCCATTTTGGGTTGTTTTAGAAGGAGACAGAAGGAAAACCAACCATGTTGGAGGTTCTGCATGCTTGAGACGAGCATATACCTTGCGAGGTCTTCAGCACTCCGAACATGTTTCGGCTCAGAGAAGCGGGCTGCTGTGTACAGATTGTAAAACTACGCTTGCCTTTGCGCTTCTCCAATTTATTTAACTTTTTGTGTACGAAACTTGGCCTGAGAGTGAAGTTGGGGACCAGTGTTTCGACATGACGAAGGGGGTCTGCCCAATTTCTCATAGTGTGTACATGTGTATGTGTAGAGAGTTGCGAGAGTGCAGCACTGCTTGAGTCATGTTGAGTTTCACTTGTGTTTGCGAGCTTGCAGCGTTAAATGGTACTTTGCTGAGGATGGCCTCCTCATCCCGAGCCACTGTTGCCGCCGCTGCAGGCGCCTGCTGATAGTGGACGGAGGCCAATGTTGGCCCTGGGGTTTTTCCATTAATTTGGAGGATGTTATTTCCCGGTGAGGGTTCCCCTCTAAAATGCGTTGAGCCCTTTCTATGAATAAGCCAGGTCCTTATTCATGCTGGCTTCCCATTAGCGGACACTTGTGTCTTGCCACCGGCATAGCCCGAGACTTTATGATCGACAGGCATAGTTGCGGAAAATCGAACTGGCCATGAGACCAAGGGAGTTCTCTTTGAAATTTTAATGGAGTCATCGTCGGATTGGAATCCCACTTTGGTATCATAAGCGGCAACCATTTTCCGGGAAAACCACGTTTTCACCAAGCACCCTCCAAACACACTATCCGCCCAACACAAGTTTTGGGTTGAGAGGTCTTACCCTTCTGGGCGGAGCCGCGTTTGTGTCCGCACCTACTGGACGTGCCGGAAACCTGCGAGCAGCGGTCCCGGACGGGGCGGGGGTAGCAAAGGCAACCGTGGGAGCACCCTCAAGAATTGCTGGCAGACAGAAGTCATAGATCCCATGTACGTGATGTCCACCAAAAGGATCCGACATGGACAGTCATACCCGACAAACCAAATGGCACTTCCTCTTCCCCCGTGGCTTTTTCTACTTGGGGGGGGGTTGTGCCAAACATGGGGCGCCTTTCTGGGAGTAATGTGGGCCTTGTGAAATGGGGGCAGGATGGGATTGCCATGTTGACAGTCCACTTTCTGTTTCCGTGGAAGAAGCTTTGACAGTGATGGAAGCTATTTATTGACTCAGTGCTTCCTGAGTTTGATCGATCTTCGCAGCTGGTTTGATTTGCAGCCTTGGCGTCCACAAGTGAAAGCCATTTCGCATTTGCTTTAGACCTTTGAGCGGAATCTGAGGCAACCGTCTCCGCAGCAACTCCAGCCTCTGCTCCTGTGTCTGGACCGGAGGCAGCATGCAACGATAGCAAACGTTGAGCGGTGCGCCTTATGCGAAGAGACTCGGTTTGCCGCTTGTAGCTCAAGACTTTAGTTCTTCGCTGTTTCAGCCAGACACAAGGCTCCTGTTTTGTAGCGTGAACATGACCTTCTCGGCCAACTCACAGTGAGCCTCCTTCAAGTGGGGTAATTCTTAGCAGGGAAAAAGGGGGAATTCTGCGATGTGAGAAGACTTGAGGGGCAACTGACGAGGCGAGCAGCGTCGCCAGTATGGCAGTTGCCAGCGCAGCTGTTGCCACCTGTTTTGCCAGCCGCAAGGCGCTGCGCTCAGAGGGGAGCCAATCGAGGGTCAACCAATAGCTGCATTCAACGACTACAAGCTTTCGCTGTCTGGACGCTTGGAAGTGAGGAACATCACCATATAAAGGACTTGGTTGCAGCTCGAAACAATGGAGAAACCAGCTTTTCCATAGGCACAGACTTCTTGTGCACGTTTCTGAGGCCATTCTCATTTCATGCAGTCATGTGCAGATATGTTCTTGGTTCTTCCACGGCGTTTGGCAAAATGTGAATTATCACTGAAGCATACACTTGCTAAAGCAAATCTGCAAATGCGTACCTGAGTGTGATGTCATGTCATGCAATGACATGTCACATCATTTCATGTCATGTCATGCCACGTAATGTTATGTCATGTCATGCAGTATGAATGATTGCATGTTTTCTTCTTACCGGCTGGCTGTGGTCTTTGTTGACTGGTTGGTAGCAGTTGGCTTGCTCGGCTGGTTGGTTGTTTCGCTTGTTCGGTCGCTGTGTTCATATGCCTGTGCAAGTGACCAGCCATCCGCATTACGACTGTTTCATTGCCAACATCAAGCACAGGGCAGTATGTGGAATGTGTAAGGTTTACACTTCAGAGAAGGCACTGATGAGCGATTACTTTGGGAATTGCAAAGCCACGTTGAAAATGGGAGCGTCCAAGGCCGCTGCAAATGCTAAGCATCAGCTGGTGCGCGTCTTAGATCAGCCGGGAGAAAGAACATCAAACTGGTGAGGATAATCACAGATGCGCTTCAGGTGGCCTTGAGTGCCTTTGAGAACGAGCTCGGTGTCCAGGTGCCAGCGGGATTTTGAGCAATCAAGCAGTTTTCATTATTGGCATGTGCAAGCTGAAGGCTATTGGCTGACTTGACTGAACACGGCATCAATTTATATTCCATGCTAAAATATGAACACCTGCTTTTAGGCATGCTGTCATGATGTGATCACATGGATTGACATACTTGTGCACATTCATCATACTACTAAATAAAGAATTGGCCAAGACTACCAAGACGTGTGTCAACAGATGCACTAAGTTGTAGCTTAGTGCAAAGACAGAGGGAATATGGATAAGAGATGACCTTCATTATCCTATCTATTGGTCATCTCTTTTCCTTACCCGATCACACCCAATAGTAGTGGATGGGGGAATGGTGACTCTTTTACCCTCATCAATTTTCAAAATGTCTAACATACGAGAATAACAGAGAAACCATGTTGTGGCAGGCACCAGTTGGATTTTGGGACCCCGCTGGCTTTGCGGCCGATGGCAGCACCGAGAACTTTGCGCGTAGGCGCCAGACGGAATTGAAGCATGGCCGAATCTCCATGCTTGCTACTTGGTCAAAGTTCGGCATCTTCTTGTTTCACCAAAAATGATGGCAGTAGAACAAATCCATATTTGATCTTAGGTTTTGGTTCAAACATTGACCAAGGCTACAATGGGATACATTACCCCCGAGATCACCGGAAAATTCCCGGGCTATTTGAGCCCTTCCGCTGGTCTGAAGTTCGCCGACGTGCCCAATGGCCTGGCCGCAATTTCCAAAGTTCCTGCCGCTGGGTGGGGTCAGATCTTGGCTTACATGGCCTTCTGCGAGGTGTCCCAGGACCAGTCGGCGGGAACTCCTGCTGCAGCGGGTGACTTCGGATTCAAGGTGCTCACCGCATCCGACCCGGAGGCGAAGAAGACGAAGCTAGCGGCCGAGTTGGCGAACGGACGACTGGCGATGATGGCCATCATCGGCATGTTTTTCCAGGCCGATGGATGCAGAGAATTGAGTACGCATGATGTGTTTAAATCTGGATACCCTTGAGAGTCACAAACAACAAAGACATATTCTATGGTTTTTGGGCCGTTGGCAATGTAGGATGTAATGCATGTCCAATGTGTTTCCGCTGTTTCATGTTATTTGTGCAGTCGTCACCTCGATTTGTACGCTGTGACACCTGTTCCGCTAAACAGGTGCAGTCCGGACGGAAACTCACTGTCTCTTTTTGGGTTGTTCCCCCAAATACATATTCCACGCGTCAAGTTTCAGACCATAACATATTCTAAGATTGTAATATCCAAAGTGAACTTGTCACTGGTCAGATCAGACGCCGAAAGTACTTCTGTTTGTTTGATGTGCCCATTTGATATTCTGGCCTTTGATATTCCAAGTACTGGTAGGGGCCAAGTGAAACCTTGCGGACATTCGTGACATACCCGGTTACGTATCAAGACCTGCTGGCTCTTTAGACCTTCGCACACTTCACATTGACAACAACGCCTGGCTTGCATGCACTCTCCTTGCATACCCCGATGCACTCTGAGTGATTTCCCAAGGGGCGAGTGCTTGCCCAGAAGAAGACAAGTTGGACCAGGTAGCAGGGGCTGGGAGAATCCTTTTTCTTTGTTTTCGTTACATACCTCGTTGCATCGGCGTTACTCAGCTCATACCCAAATGTCAAGCACCGTTTCCGTGTTACCTCCGTAACGGTCGCGTCTTGCGTTGCATGCCTTCAAACAAGATCATATACTCATTTACCGCAGATTACATCCAAGTTGCCAGGGTGTCGTGGATGTTGTTGCCGGTTCCCTTGTAATATTCAGGAGATTAACCATAGCAGAGAGAGCAAACGAGTGATCAAACTAATTGCATGGCCAACTCTCTCCATTCTAATTGTGTGCGCAGGGAGCCCTAGATGCAAGGCCACCGAGAGACCACGGGTCCTCAATGCATGTTGAAGCTTTTCAATGCACTGCTTGAAGAGCTTGTGAGAGGTGTCACACACCAAGCCGCACAGCTGATTGCAGACAAATCCCACGATAGGTGGCAGGCAACATGTCAAGCTAAAGTTTTTCTTTCGGAGTGGCATTAGAACCCCCCCAACGCAGAAGAAGTAGAACCCTTCGATCAGAACCATTTCAAGGTTCCTGACTTGTTTTTCGGTGAAACTTGCATGAAGCGATTCTTGTGCGGCATGCAGGATGGTCTCACTGGCAGCGCTTGGGGTGACTGGGCCAACTACACCGCTTCGCCTTTGCGCGCCTTCGAAAACGAGCTTGGAGTGCAAGCACCGGTGGGGTTCTGGGACCCGGCAGGGTTCACGGCCGATGGCAGCACTGAGAACTTCGCCCGACGTCGCCAGACGGAGCTGAAGCATGGTCGCATTTCCATGCTTGCCGCTTGATCGAGGTCCAGTAATATCTTGCTTTTGCTTTTGCCTCGTACAATATGATGGCGCCCAAACTTGTTTACAGGTTTTATCCAGCTTTGGGTTTGAACATTCACCAAGGCTACAATGGGATACATTACCCCCGAGATCACCGGAAAATTGCCGGGCTATTTGAGCCCTTCCGCTGGTCTGAAGTTCGCCGACGTGCCCAATGGCCTGGCCGCAATTTCCAAAGTTCCTGCCGCTGGGTGGGGTCAGATCTTGGCTTACATGGCCTTCTGCGAGGTGTCCCAGGACCAGTCGGCGGGAACTCCTGCTGCAGCGGGTGACTTCGGATTCAAGGTGCTCACCGCATCCGACCCGGAGGCGAAGAAGACGAAGCTAGCGGCCGAGTTGGCGAACGGACGACTGGCGATGATGGCCATCATCGGCATGTTTTTCCAGGCCGATGGATGCAGAGAATTGAGTACGCATGATGTGTTTAAATCTGGATACCCTTGAGAGTCACAAACAACAAAGACATATTCTATGGTTTTTGGGCCGTTGGCAATGTAGGATGTAATGCATGTCCAATGTGTTTCCGCTGTTTCATGTTATTTGTGCAGTCGTCACCTCGATTTGTACGTTGTGACACCTGTTCCGCTAAACAGGTGCAGTCCGGACGGAAACTCACTGTCTCTGTTTGGGTTGTTCCCCCAAATACATATTCCACGCGTCAAGTTTCAGACCATAACATATTCTAAGATTGTAATATCCAAAGTGAACTTGTCACTGGTCAGATCAGACGCTTGATACTCTGGCCTTTGATATTCCAAGTACTGGTAGGGGCCAAGTGAAACCTTGCGGACATTCGTGACATACCCGGTTACGTATCAAGACCTGCTGGCTCTTTACACCTTCGCACACCTCACATTGACAACAACGCCTGGCTTGCATGCACTCTCCTTGCATACCCCGATTGACTCTGAGTGATTTCCCAAGGGGCAAGTGCTTGCCCAGAAGAAGACAAGTTGGACCAGGTAGCAGGGGCTGGGAGAATCCTTTTTCTTTGTTTTCGTTACATACCTCGTTGCATCGGCGTTACGCAGCTCATACCCAAATGTCAAGCACCGTTTCCCTGTTACCTCCGTAACGGTCGCGTCTTGCGTTGCATGCCTTCAAACAAGATCATATACTCATTTACCGCAGATTACATCCAAGTTGCCAGGGTGTCGTGGATGTTGTTGCCGGTTCCCTTGTAATATTCAGGAGATTAACCATAGCAGAGAGAGCAAACGAGTGATCAAACTAATTGCATGGCCAACTCTTTCCATTCTAATTGTGTGCGCAGGGAGCCCTAGATGCAAGGCCACCGAGAGACCACGGGTCCTCAATGCATGTTGAAGCTTTTCAATGCACTGCTTGAAGAGCTTGTGAGAGGTGTCACACACCAAGCCGCACAGCTGATTGCAGACAAATCCGACGATAGGTGGCAGGTAACATGTCAAGCTAAAGTTTTTCTTTCGGAGTGGCCTTAGAACCCCCCCAACGCAGAAGAAGCTTAGAACCCTTCGATCAGAACCATTTCAAGGTTCCTGACTTGTTTTTTCGGTGAAACTTGCATGAAGCGATTCTTGTGCGGCATGCAGGATGGTCTCACTGGCAGCGCTTGGGGTGACTGGGCCAACTACACCGCTTCGCCTTTGCGCGCCTTCGAAAACGAGCTTGGAGTGCAAGCACCGGTGGGGTTCTGGGACCCGGCAGGGTTCACGGCCGATGGCAGCACTGAGAACTTCGCCCGACGTCGCCAGACGGAGCTGAAGCATGGTCGCATTTCCATGCTTGCCGCTTGATCGAGGTCCAGTAATATCTTGCTTTTTGCTTTTGCCTCGTACAAATATGATGGCGCCCAAACTTGTTTACAGGTTTTATCCAGCTTTGGGTTTGAACATTCACCAAGGCTACAATGGGATACATTACCCCCGAGATCACCGGAAAATTGCCGGGCTATTTGAGCCCTTCCGCTGGTCTGAAGTTCGCCGACGTGCCCAATGGCCTGGCCGCAATTTCCAAAGTTCCTGCCGCTGGGTGGAGTCAGATCTTGGCTTACATGGCCTTCTGCGAGGTGTCCCAGGACCAGTCGGCGGGAACTCCTGCTGCGGCGGGTGACTTCGGATTCAAGGTGCTCACCGCATCCGACCCGGAGGCGAAGAAGACGAAGCTAGCGGCCGAGCTGGCGAACGGACGACTGGCGATGATGGCCATCATCGGCATGTTTTTCCAGGCCGATGGATGCAGAGAATTGAGTACGCATGATGTGTTTAAATCTGGATACCCTTGAGAGTCACAAACAACAAAGACATATTTTATGGTTTTTGGGCCGTTGGGAATGTAGGATGTAATGCATGTCCAATGTGTTTCCGCTGTTTCATGTTATTTGTGCAGTCGTCACCTCGATTTGTACGCCGTGACACCTGTTCTGCTAAGCAGGTGCAGTCCGGACGGAAACTCACTGTCTCTTTTTGGGTTGTTCCCCCAAACACATATTCCACGAGTCAAGTTTCAGACCATAGCATATTCTAAGATTGTAATATCCAAAGTGAACTTGTCACTGGTCAGATCAGACGCCGAAAGTACTTCTGTTTGTTTGATGTGCCCATTTGATATTCTGGCCTTTGATATTCCAAGTACTGGTAGGGGCCAAGTGAAACCTTGCGGACATTCGTGACATACCCGGTTACGTATCAAGACCTGCTGGCTCTTTACACCTTCGCACACCTCACATTGACAACAACGCCTGGCTTGCATGCACTCTCCTTGCATACCCCGATTGACTCTGAGTGATTTCCCAAGGGGCGAGTGCTTGCCCAGAAGAAGACAAGTTGGACCAGGTAGCAGGGGGCTGGGAGAATCCTTTTTCTTTGTTTTCGTTACATACCTCGTTGCATCGGCGTTACGCAGCTCATACCCAAATGTCAAGCACCGTTTCCCTGTCACCTCGTCGCGTCTTGCGTTGCATGCCTTCAAACAAGATCATATACTCATTTACCGCAGATTACATCCAAGTTGCCAGGGTGTCGTGGATGTTGTTGCCGGTTCCCTTGTAATATTCAGGAGATTAACCATAGCAGAGAGAGCAAACGAGTGATCAAACTAATTGCATGGCCAACTCTCTCCATTCTAATTGTGTGCGCAGGGAGCCCTAGATGCAAGGCCACCGAGAGACCACGGGTCCTCAATGCATGTTGAAGCTTTTCAATGCACTGCTTGAAGAGCTTGTGAGAGGTGTCACACACCAAGCCGCACAGCTGATTGCAGACAAATCCCACGATAGGTGGCAGGCAACATGTCAAGCTAAAGTTTTTCTTTCGGAGTGGCCTTAGAACCCCCCCAACGCAGAAGAAGCTTAGAACCCTTCGATCAGAACCATTTCAAGGTTCCTGACTTGTTTTTCGGTGAAACTTGCATGAAGCGATTCTTGTGCGGCATGCAGGATGGTCTCACTGGCAGCGCTTGGGGTGACTGGGCCAACTACACCGCTTCGCCTTTGCGCGCCTTCGAAAACGAGCTTGGAGTGCAAGCGCCGGTGGGGTTCTGGGACCCGGCAGGGTTCACGGCCGATGGCAGCACTGAGAACTTCGCCCGACGTCGCCAGACGGAGCTGAAGCATGGTCGCATTTCCATGCTTGCCGCTTGATCGAGGTCCAGTAATATCTTGCTTTTGCTTTTGCCTCGTACAAATATGATGGCGCCCAAACTTGTTTACAGGTTTTATCCAGCTTTGGGTTTGAACATTCACCAAGGCTACAATGGGATACATTACCCCCGAGATCACCGGAAAATTGCCGGGATATTTGAGCCCTTCCGCTGGTCTGAAGTTCGCCGACGTGCCCAATGGCCTGGCCGCAATTTCCAAAGTTCCTGCCGCTGGGTGGGGTCAGATCTTGGCTTACATGGCCTTCTGCGAGGTGTCCCAGGACCAGTCGGCGGGAACTCCTGCTGCAGCGGGTGACTTCGGATTCAAGGTGCTCACCGCATCCGACCCGGAGGCAAAGAAGACGAAGCTAGCGGCCGAGTTGGCGAACGGACGACTGGCGATGATGGCCATCATCGGCATGTTTTTCCAGGCCGATGGATGCAGAGAATTGAGTACGCATGATGTGTTTAAATCTGGATACCCTTGCGAGTCACAAACAACAAAGACATATTCTATGGTTTTTGGGCCGTTGGCAATGTAGGATGTAATGCATGTCCAATGTGTTTCCGCTGTTTCATGTTATTTGTGCAGTCGTCACCTCGATTTGTACGCTGTGACGCCTGTTCCGCTAAACAGGTGCAGACCGGACGGAAACTCTGTCTCTTTTTGGGTTGTTCCCCCCAATACATATTCCACGCGTCAAGTTTCAGACCATAACATATTCTAAGATTGTAATATCCAAAGTGAACTTGTCACTGGTCAGATCAGACGCCGAAAGTACTTCTGTTTGTTTGATGTGCCCGTTTGATATTCTGGCCTTTGATATTCCAAGTACTGGTAGGGGCCAAGTGAAACCTTGCGGACATTCGTGACATACCCGGTTACGTATCAAGACCTGCTGGCTCTTTAGACCTTCGCACACTTCACATTGACAACAACGCCTGGCTTGCATGCACTCTCCTTGCATACCCCGATGCACTCTGAGTGATTTCTCAAGGGGCGAGTGCTTGCCCAGAAGAAGACAAGTTGGACCAGGTAGCAGGGGGCTGGGAGAATCCTTTTTCTTTGTTTTCGTTACATACCTCGTTGCACCGGCGTTACGCAGCTCATACCCAAATGTCAAGCACCGTTTCCCTGTCACCTCCGTAACGGTCGCGTCTTGCGTTGCATGCCTTCAAACAAGATCATATACTCATTTACCGCAGATTTCATCCAAGTTGCCAGGGTGTCGTGGATGTTGTTGCCGGTTCCCTTGTAATATTCAGGAGATTAACCATAGCAGAGAGAGCAAACGAGTGATCAAACTAATTGCATGGCCAACTCTTTCCATTCTAATTGTGTGCGCAGGGAGCCCTAGATGCAAGGCCACGAGAGACCACGGGTCCTCAATGCATGTTGAAGCTTTTCAACGCACTGCTTGAAGAGCTTGTGAGAGGTGTCACGCACCAAGCCGCACAGCTGATTGCAGACAAATCCGACGATAGGTGGCAGGCAACATGTCAAGCTAAAGTTTTTCTTTCGGAGTGGCCTTAGAACCCCCCCAACGCAGAAGAAGCTTAGAACCCTTCGATCAGAACCATTTCAAGGTTCCTGACTTGTTTTTCGGTGAAACTTGCATGAAGCGATTCTTGTGCGGCATGCAGGATGGTCTCACTGGCAGCGCTTGGGGTGACTGGGCCAACTACACCGCTTCGCCTTTGCGCGCCTTCGAAAACGAGCTTGGAGTGCAAGCACCGGTGGGGTTCTGGGACCCGGCAGGGTTCACGGCCGATGGCAGCACTGAGAACTTCGCCCGACGTCGCCAGACGGAGCTGAAGCATGGTCGCATTTCCATGCTTGCCGCTTGATCGAGGTCCAGTACTATCTTGCTTTTGCTTTTGCCTCGTACAAATATGATGGCGCCCAAACTTCCCAGAGGATCCAGGATCAAAAAAAATCAATCTTTTCCTATAAAAAAATATCAATCTTTTTGGAGATCAATCTTTGCATTTTATAGCTGTTTTTTGTGTTCCCAATCACATCAAGGAAGATCAATCTTTTCCTGAGAAAATATATAAAAATATCATTTTTTTTTGCAAAATATCAATCTTCTTTGCACAAAAACTTGACATGTCCAAGAACTTAAGGATCTCATTTGCCCTTCTGCAGGGCACATGCAGCACACCACTTCTTTTTTTGCCTGGCGAAATATGTTAACGTTCTGTGTCACAGCAGCCCCTTCCAGAACCTGACATACATCATCAGCCGATACTTTTTCAAGATCTTAACAGAAAGCAAAGTGGCTGTTGTGCCAAACGATGCTGAGTGTGCAAGCTTGCTGATTCTGCCCACATAGTCTTCAGCCTTAAAGCACCATGCGTGTCTGGGATTGCCAAACCTGAAAGCAAGGGCCAAATGCTTGGCCATGTGAAATTTGATCACTGTGTGCCAGGTGAAGTCATTGGACCTGTGCAGCTGCAGCCACTTGTAATGCCCCAAAAAGGAAGTCATCAGAAAGGCTGCCTGGCAGGCCTCTTGCTCACTTGGAAACCTGGGAGCTGCATCCATCAAATCTACAAAAGCTGCCATGTCTTCAAAGATAGCCAGGATCTTGGAGGAGACTTCATCTCCTTCATGGAACTCCACTGCCAGTTGTGCAAACAGATGCACCAATGCTTTGCATTCCCCAGCTTTTGCCCTAAGGAAAGGCTGGGTCTGATGAGGCTTGTCGGGGCTGGTGAACATGGATAGCTTCAATGTGGGCAGCCTGCAGTCCACTTCAAAGTCCTTGTAGAGCGACTGTATTTTTTGCCAAATATGTTTGACTTTGTCCCTTATGCTTCTTCCTGGCACAGCCCTGCAAGTGTAGCACCAAAACTTCAACGCATTGCCCATACAATGAGAAAGAACACCTTTGCAAAACAGGATGTGCATTGCATCCTGTGCAATATTGAAATGGGATACTCCATGAATGGTAAAGAGTGGGTGTGCTGAGATCCTGCAATTCATTTCTTCTTGAGGTAGCCTCAAGCCTTCAAATGTCTTTGGCCAGGTTGCTCTGCTGCTGAGGGCCAGTCATCTTACACTCCCAGCAGGGGTGTGCGTTCATCCAATGTGGCAGCTTCAGGACATTGGCAAAAAATTCTTGGTCACCCATGACCTGCCAGATTGTAAACCTGTAATTGTGAACAATGTCAGTCTTTCCTGCCTGCAGCTTAGAAAATGAAGGAACAATATGTGACCACAGTGTCTCCCAGGTTGCACTCACTGCACAATCTTTGGGAAAGGCCAGCAGCAAGAGAGATGAGCTCAATGATGGGCCTGAATTCAAGACAGAGCCCAGGAATACACCATCATAGTTTTGCCATCGGCATACTCCACACCATCTCCATGAACCCAGAGTGGGACTGTTGCTGGTAGGTCCTCATGCTTTAAGCTGGATTCCTGCATGAGTATGGTAAGCCTGGGGTCATCAGGCCTAACATTGTTCCAAAACTCTAGTAGGCCATCTGGTTGGAAAATGCTCTGGAAATGCTCTGGGCTCTCCTGCAATGCTGCCACAGTGTTGCAAGGGTCAAAAAAAGCAACGTCAGTGGTCTCTTCCTCACTTGTCCTGGGGTTGGAGCAAGGGCAATCCTTGATGATAGTGGGCTCTGCAAAGGATGCCTTGCTTTCTGAAACCACCATCCTCTCCAAATCCCTGGACACATTGTTGGGGTGTTGTCCCCAGGAGCCACAGCTGGCCACCTTGGCCACGGCAGGGTGCTTCAGCCCATCCAGAAAAGCACTGTGTGCTATTTTCTGGCAAGCAATGGCAGAGATGTCACCAAGAGTCCACAGCCAAAGCAAGTGAGTCTGCAACACTGATTCTGAATCTGTGTTGGCTGCTTTGGGGTCGCGCAAGCACCCCAGGCTTTGCTTGTACCCAGGCATGATGCTTATCGGCTGCAGCATGATCCTATACTAGCTATAAGCTGGAATGCACTTCTGCAGCGCAACAGATTCACAACCTGCACTTTTTCCTTTGCTGCACCTTGGCTATTGCATCTCTGGGTCATCTGTCGGCTCCTTTGCAATGGTCTGCAGTCGAATTACACCAACTGATGCTAAACTCAATTCTGGAGGCTCAGCTTCATCGAATTCACACCGACAGTCTTTGCAAATCTGCCACAGCTTCAAGTACTCAGTCCTGCATGCAAAGAAAACACATTCATGAAAACACATGCATGAGCAAGGCTGCTTGCATGAACTCCTTGGCAGGTATGGCTCCAGTTGGCACAGCCAACAGGACAGGCAAATCTTATAATCTGCCAGCAAGGCAAGTTCTTCAACTGACAGCATGCTGCTAACCTTGCCCTTTGCTTGAGCCAAATATTTGCTGGCAAACCAGATCCTCAACATGCGTGCCAGCAATCTATGCAGCTGGCACAGACGCCATTGTTTTCTCAGTCAGATCGGTCTCTGGTGCGCAGCATTTCTACTCCAGCTGCTATCCTAGCCTCTCAGCCAAATATTTCTTTGCACAAGGTAATCTTCTCTTTGGCATTCTGCTGAATGGCCTGGAACTCCTTGTGCTCCCACACATCGCCCTTGTCGGACACTTTGGAGAGGATCTCTTCCAGCTCACCCTTTGCTTTGGCTGCGTGCCCTCTTTTGTCACCATCTGTGGTTTCAAATGCCTTGCAGCCCACGACAGTGATGGCTTTGGACAAAGCAGATTTCAGCCACTGGATTTGTTTCTTGGTCACCTGCTCCTCATCATCTTTGTTTGCTTTCCTTTCTTGCCAATGCCTTTGGAAGTCTTACCCTTCATGCTCCCCTTGCCCTTGGCAATGCTGGAACCAGTGCCAAACAGCTGGATGTCATTGAAGCTGGATGCTGAGCCAAAGGCAGTCCAAGCCTTGTCCCAGTCATCATCATCGTCCTCCTTGGTCTCTGGCTTGAGCTGGCTCTTGGAAGATTTGCTGAGCTGCTTATCTCTGCCCAACACCTTGATTGTCTTCACCTTGTTGTTGTCTTTGAATTCCCAAACTCCAGGTGTGTCTGGGCACTCCCTTTCAGAGATTCTTCCACTGTGAATGTGCATCGTCAGCTCCTCCTCACTCCATTCTTGCAACATCTAGGTCCAGCTGATCCACTCATCAGTCTTCTCGAGATTTTGGCTCCCCCTCACAGTGTGGGTTAACTCTTGCCAGACATCAGTCATGGTTGGGTCAAGGGCAAGGCAGCCAACCAAGTGCCTGTGAGCTTTCTGCCCTTGGCTTGCAGCCAACTTGTCAATTTCACTGTTTTTTTCCTGGCTGAGGAAAACCTGCCATTGAGCTTGTTCCAGTCACCCAAGGTCAAGTGGTCGTTCAAAAGCTGCAACTTATCCTCTGCAGACAAGTCGGTGTTGCTCCTCAGCAACTCCAGCTTCATGTTCAAGCTCTCTGACTTGCTCAACTCAGACTTCACGTGGTCAAGCGGGCTTGGGTCCTCATTCTGGCTCTTGCCTGCTTTTTCAGGCTCTTCAGTCTGGTCGACTGGTACAGGGTTGGGCCCTTCTGAATCAGGCAGGCTTACACCCTCAGCCTTGGCCGTGTCTTCAGTGCTCAATCTACTTTGCTACACAGATCCACTTGTGGCAACGCATGCAAGCCTGAGAACATTGCAATAAATGCAGCACTTGCGCCCTCACAACATGATGGCCAGGCACACTCCTATATATTGCATCTGGCCCTTCTGCAGGGCCAGATTCACTTTCCACATTGGACTTGGCCCTTGTGCAGGGCCAAATGCAGTTTCCCAATGCCCTGGCCCTTCTGCAAAACCAGATGCATTTGAGAGCCCTTCTGCAGGGCCTTCTTCACATCCCCAATGCTTCCATGAATGAGCCAGATGCAAAAAAAACAAAGCAACAAACCAGACTGAAACAACAAACACATACTTCTGCTAAGTATGTAGTACAGGCAACATATCTGTAATACAGAAAAACATCTGTAATATCTGTACTACAGAAAAAACATCTGTAATACAGAAAAAAACACAGAAAAAACATCTGCAATACAGAAAATCTGTAATACAGATAAAAAATCTGTAATACAGATAAAAAATCTGTAATACAGATAAAAAATCTGTAATACAGATAAAAAATCTGTAATACAGATAAAAAAATCTGTAATACAGATAAAAAAATCTGTAATACAGATAAAAAAATCTGTAATACAGATAAAAAATCTGTAATACAGACTGTAGTATTTACAATGCAGGCCACAAAAAAACATACCAAACTACCTGTAGCATGGCACAGACAAAATGTCTGTAATAAAGCCAAACCATGTGAATTCGTCGCACCGCACTTTTTTTGCCTTTGCACCAGCAGTGATCAGGTGCTTACACTTGGCCCCAGTACCTGTGTTCCAAGGCTACATCATGGCAGTGGCACATGCACAGTGGGTGGCAAGCACTTTGGCAATGCTCACACCAAAGTTTGCCTTTGCCCTTCATCACAGTGACACCCTTCCTATTGCCTTTGCCTTTTTGAGGCTGTGTGTGCTTGTTTTTGCCTTTGCCATGGCCCTTGCTAGGCTCAGGCAAATCATGCACCCAAGCTCTCACAAGCTTGAAGTCAGAGCTCACAAATTCTTGATGTCTCCAGGCTTCAAAAAGTTTCATTGCGTGTGCCACCTCCAAAAGCTGCAGCATTTCCATCCACTCATCTGGGCTTTGCTGCAACCACCTTGCCAGCTGCTCTGGCCTCTCACTCATTTGAGACCACCTCTCCTCAGCATTCGTGATGCTTGGTGCATCAAATGCAACCATTTCTTTGGTCCCATCTTCACGCTCCAGGTAGGCTTCCACAGGTCCACCTCTGATGCTGGCGAAGACTACCATGTTCTTGTGGCTCCACATCAGATGGTCACCTCCAATGGCTGGAACAAGCTGCACCCTCATGGGCCTAGACATTTCCTGCTAAGGAGCAAAGCTATCTGGAAGCCACTTCTTGAACATCCAAGGCTGCATGGCTACTGCGTGCACATATGTGTTTCTCAAACAGCTTGCCTCAGATCCCCCTTCCGCAGGGGTTTTGCTCTTCAGGATGCCTGCTCAGTCTTTCCTGCCCCTTCTGCAGGGGCTTTACCACCATGGCACCAAAGCTGTCCCTTGAACAGTTTCTAAACAATTGTCAACTAAATCAACACAGCGCTATTGCCTCTTCTGCAGAGGCTTAATTGACTCTCCCCTGATTCAGCTGGACATGTTGCAACTTCTGCAATGCGAATCTCCCCCCCCTGCAATGGAAAAACGCGCTCAAAGCATTTTTCTCAGGTCTGGAAGACTGCAATGCATGGAAAATAGCACTTGCGCAGTGCAATCGCCATGAATATATTATTCTCATGCAATACATGTATACATCAGCTCTCACCTCGGGTCAAAGGGGCTCTTCTTGGTTTTTGGCTGCTTGTTCTTCTTGCTCTTCTTCTTTTTCTCTGGGGCCTTGGGAGGTGAAGGCGGCTCAGTCTCAGAGGCATCTGCTGCATCCTGCTCCTTCATCTGCTCTGCAACTTCTGAGATCAGCTGCAGAGCTTTCTCTTCAGCAGCTTTCTTTGCACTTTCAGCTGCAGCTCTTGCCTCCTGAGCAGCCTTCCTCTTTGCAGATGCCTCAGCAAGCTTGGCCACTGCTTCTGCGAGCTGCTTCTCCTCAGCTGCTGCTTTTTTCTCCTCAGCTGCAGCCTTTTGCTCCTGCTCAGCTGCCAACTGCACAGCATCTGCTGCCATCTTTTCTTCTGTTTCCTGCAGGGCCTGCATCTTTTCGAAGTTGCTGGCTTCCTCTTTGGCCTCCTGCTCGCTCTTCCCTTGGCTCAGCAGGTAGTTCACCAGCTGCTGTGACTCCTTCTTCTCAAAGTTGGCCAGCTCCTTCTTCTCAAAGTTGGCCACCTCCTTCTTCTCAAAGTTTGCCACTTCTTGCTTTGCCTCCTGCTCGCCCTGCTGCAGCTCCTGCCGCTTGCTCTTGCTTTCTTCTTCCCAGCTTCCATACCATTTCCTCTTTTGGCCATACCCGCAGTTGTCGCACCAGCCCCTGTTCCTGTAAGCTTGGACCCCACACCTTCTGCACCAGCCTTTCCAGCTGGCTGCAACTTTCCCACCATCAGCTGAGGAGGCTGGGTTGGGATCCGAGGCTTCACCAGGCTGCAGGCTTTGCAGCAGCTCCTGCACTTTTGCCCAGCCTCCTTGCCCTCCTTGGTCCAGCTGGCTGGCCAGCAGGTTCACAATGGCTTTTTGCACAACCTTCCTTTTGGCCAGCCTCCTGTCCCTGCTGTTGCCTTGCTCAAGGTCAAGATCTCCAGCTGCATCATCTGACGCCCAGAATCCTGGCCCAGAGCTCAAAGCCTGCAGCAACTTGCTGCACATCTCTTGTTCGTCAAGCTGCTGCTGCTGCTGCTGCTGCTGTGGCAGCTGCTGCGGCAGCTGCTGCTGCTGCTGCGGCTGCTGCTGCTGCGTCTGCAGCAGATGCATGCTCAAGGGCTGCATTCGGACAGGCCCCTGGCCCAGCCCTTGCTGCAGCTGGGCGTGCAGCATGGCTTGCAGCTGCTCCACAGTCATGATCCCAGGCTGCATGTTATTCATGCTTCTCACCAGCAAGTGTTTTACTTGCAAGCTAATCTCAGCTTGAGCCATGGAACTGCAGCACCAACAATTAATGTGTGTGTGCTCAAACGCTTGCAAATCAGCTCATGCAAGATATTCCTGCAGCCTCTTCTGCAGAGGCTTGCGCGCGCACCCTCTTCTGCAGAGGCTGTGCTTTGCTTTCCCCATCCCCTTCTGCAGGGGAATTGCTTTTTCAGCAGAGGATTTGCTGTTTGTTCTCTTCTCCGCCCCTTCTGCAGGGGAATTGTTTTTCAGCTCCCCTTCTGCAGGGGCTTTCTGGCATAACAAACTTCCACAAAAAACAAGGTTTACTTGGTGCACCTCTTCTGCAGAGGCTAGCCCTCTATGAATGTGTTGCATGGATAACAAACTTCCACAAAAAACAAGGTTTACTTGGTGCACCTCTTCTGCAGAGGCTAGCCCTCTAGCAAAGATGAATGTGTTGCATGGATCCCTCTGATGTCTTTACGTGTGAGACAACCCCAAGCTATAGACAGCATGCCAAACTAATCATGCTTATTCTTCAACATCTTCCAAACTTTGTGCTTGGCCAGGAGCATGATCTCCTCTTCTTTGGCCGTGTCCCCTGGCCTCAAATGAAGATCGTGTAGGACTTTGGATGCCAAGGCATCCAATTCCACCTTGTGGATTTCCTTGTGCCCAAAAGCAAAAATCTGGCCCACGCACTTCCCATTGTTAAACTTCTTAACACCAAACTTGTTGCCATTCTTGTAGTACTCCTTTCTGTAGTGGAAAGGGCTCTTCTTGCCATGCTCTGGCTGCTTCTTTGTCTTTAGCTTTGGGCTTTTGCGGCTTGAGGAGCTCGAGGAGCATGGCTCTTTTTCCTCTGCGCCTTGGCCTTGCTGCTTGCTTGCAGGCACTGGGGTGTGTGGTGCTTCACTTTGGAGATCTTCTTGCAAACCCTGAGCAGGGCATGGCTCATCCTCAGCAGGCCCTGCCTCACCCTCAGCTGGCCCTGCCTCACTGGTCAGCATGGCAATGAGGGACTTCACTTTGGCAAGTGAACCAGATGATGACTTGGCAACCAGCTGCTGGCACTTCTCTGTGTTGTTCTTTGCCCTCCTCAAGTGGTAGAGCATGGTAGAGATCCTGTCAAACCTGCTTCCAGCCCAGAGTAGATTCTTCAAGCTGGTTTTGTTCAACTCAGGTTCCAAGCTCACCGCCTTCAGGATTGAAGCTCTCACCTGGGTCAGCAGAAGCTGGCCTTCAGGCTGAACCAGCAGCAAGCTCTTCAGCAAGTCAAAGTGCATGGCTAAACTTTCTCCATCTGCAGCCTGTGCTTTGCTGATGGTCTCATAGGCACCCAAGTCCTGCCAGCTTTTATTGCTGTGCAGGGCCATGTCCAGCACTGACTGGTCCAGTGGTGTCACCTGCTCCCTCTTTCCCATTGCGCCTATGTGTTGACTGCAAGATCTAGGCCAAACGCGGCAACTGCAGTTTTCAAACATCTGCAATGATCTGATGCAGTCTGCCTCTTGGTCGCTGCCCATTTCTGAGGCAAGCAGCATGCCCTTTGATCTGTCCCCTTCTGCGAGCTGCAACCATTTCATAAACCTGCATTCATTCTAAGAAACCTTACAATCGAAAAAAGATTGATATTTTGGTTGAAAAACACTTCAAAAAATATCAATCTTTTTTGGAGAAACTATCAATCTTTTCCTTCAAAAAAAATAGCTTAAAAAAACACTTAAAAACACCTAAAATATGCGAATATCAATCTTCATTTTCATGGATTGATTTTTTTTGATCCTGGATCCTCTGGGTTGTTTACAGGTTTTATCCAGCTTTGGGTTTGAACATTCACCAAGGCTACAATGGGATACATTACCCCCGAGATCACCGGAAAATTGCCGGGATATTTGAGCCCTTCCGCTGGTCTGAAGTTCGCCGACGTGCCCAATGGCCTGGCCGCAATTTCCAAAGTTCCTGCCGCTGGGTGGGGTCAGATCTTGGCTTACATGGCCTTCTGCGAGGTGTCCCAGGACCAGTCGGCGGGAACTCCTGCTGCAGCGGGTGACTTCGGATTCAAGGTGCTCACCGCATCCGACCCGGAGGCGAAGAAGACGAAGCTAGCGGCCGAGTTGGCGAACGGACGACTGGCGATGATGGCCATCATCGGCATGTTTTTCCAGGCCGAGGCCGATGGATGCAGATAATTGAGTACGCGTGATGTGTTTAAATCTGGATACCCTTGAGAGCCACAAACAACAAAGACACATTCTATGGTTTTTGGGCCGTTGGCAATGTAGGATGTAATGCATGTCCAATGTGTTTCCGCTGTTTCATGTTATTTGTGTAGTCGTCACCTCGATTTGTACGCCGTTACACCTGTTCAGCGGACAGTAACAGGTTATATGACTACACCTGTCTCTTTTTGGGTTGTTCCCCCAATACATATTCCACGCATCAAGTTTCAGACCATAACATATTCTAAGATTGTAATATCCAAAGTGAACTTGTCACTGGTCAGATCAGACGCCGAAAGTACTTCTGTTTGTTTGATGTGCCCATTTGATATTCTGGCCTTTGATATTCCAAGTACTGGTAGGGGCCAAGTGAAACCTTGCGGACATTCGTTACGTATCAAGACCTGCTGGCTCTGTAGACCTTCGCGCACTTCACATTGACAACAACGCCTGGCTTGCATGCACTCTCCTTGCATACCCCGATGCACTCTGAGTGATTTCCCAAGGGGCGAGTGCTTGCCCAGAAGAAGACAAGTTGCACCAGGTAGCAGGGGGCTGGGAGAATCCTTTTTCTTTGTTTTTGTTACATACCTCGTTGCATCGGCGTTACGCAGCTCATACCCAAATGTCAATCACCGTTTCCCTGTTACCTCCGTAACGGTCGCCGTCATGTCGTTGCATGCCTTCAAACAATATCATATACTCATTTACCCGAAGATTGCCTCCAAGTTGCCAGGGAGTCGTGGATGTTTGTTCCGGTTCCCTTGTACATAATCAAGGAGATTAACCATTAGCAGAGAGAGCAGGAAACGAGTGATCAAACTAATTGCATCCAACTCTTTCCATTCTAATTGTGTGCGCAGGGAGCCCTAGATACAAGGCCACCGAGAGACCACGGGTCCTCAATGCATGTTGAAGCTTTTCAACGCACTGCTTGAAGAGCTTGTGAGAGGTGTCACACACCAAGCCGCACAGCTGATTGCAGACAAATCCGACGATAGGTGGCAGGCAACATGTCAAGCTAAAGTTTTTCTTTCGGAGTGGCCTTAGAACCCCCCCAACGCAGAAGAAGCTTAGAACCCTTCGATCAGAACCATTTCAAGGTTCCTGACTTGTTTTTCGGTGAAACTTGCATGAAGCGATTCTTGTGCGGCATGCAGGATGGTCTCACTGGCAGCGCTTGGGGTGACTGGGCCAACTACACCGCTTCGCCTTTGCGCGCCTTCGAAAACGAGCTTGGAGTGCAAGCACCGGTGGGGTTCTGGGACCCGGCAGGGTTCACGGCCGATGGCAGCACTGAGAACTTCGCCCGACGTCGCCAGACGGAGCTGAAGCATGGTCGCATTTCCATGCTTGCCGCTTGATCGAGGTCCAGTATATCTTGCTTTTGCTTTTGCCTCGTACAAGTATGATGGCGCCCAAACTGTTTACAGGTTTTATCCAGCTTTGGTTTGAACATTCACCAAGGCTACAATGGGATACATTACCCCCGAGATCACCGGAAAATTGCCGGGATATTTGAGCCCTTCCGCTGGTCTGAAGTTCGCCGACGTGCCCAATGGCCTGGCCGCAATTTCCAAAGTTCCTGCCGCTGGGTGGGGTCAGATCTTGGCTTACATGGCCTTCTGCGAGGTGTCCCAGGACCAGTCGGCGGGAACTCCTGCTGCGGCGGGTGACTTCGGATTCAAGGTGCTCACCGCATCCGACCCAGAGGCGAAGAAGACGAAGCTAGCGGCCGAGTTGGCGAACGGACGACTGGCCATGATGGCCATCATCGGCATGTTTTTCCAGGCCGATGGATGCAGATAATTGAGTACGCGTGATGTGTTTAAGTTTATAGATGGGTAAAGTGAGAGTATGCGGACGTGTGGTTTTCTGCCGTGTCGGGTCCGGCACGCGCGCACTTTGAACATTCTGAGAGAAACAACGTCAACACCCATATTCTACTTTCATCATTGCTGTTGTCAATGCAGGATTCGATGCATTGTGTCATGTGCTCACGCAGCTTTATGTTATTTGTGCAGGAACCACATCGTTCTTGTATGAGGTTACACCGCTTCAGCAGACAGCCATGTTTGACGGACGGACACATCTTCAGACAACGGTTCCGGCAAAACAGCTAGACTATTCCGAGGCAGATGTTTTTCTAGTGGCAGACAAAGTGTCAAGCGCAATGCTCTTGCCTGTTCTTGTGGGGGCAACATTTTGCGGGACGCGCAAAACAGTTATCAAGGGACCAGGGTTGTGGGATCAAGGGGTTTATCCCCACTTCTGCGACACAAGGGAATCTCCCCCTTTATATGGGGGTTAGTCTTTGGGAAGCCCTTTTTGTCGTATCACAGAAGTGGTCAAATCCCACAACCCTGTAAGGGACTGACCATGATTCGTGCCATGGTCAAAAGCCTTGATGGGGTCGGTCGGATGATCATCAACCCCTTAACAGGGATTCTCTTGACAAGTATTGCACATGCTCCTATTGGGGGAACTGGGGCCCACATGAGGAGCTTTGACCATGGCACTGTGTACCACACTCAAATCCAAAATATTGGATGCTAGTACAGGACATGCCCAAGCAGGAATACAGCGGTTGCCATTACATCATGCCCTGCCTGCAGGATGGACTGACTGGCAGCGCCTGGGGTGACTGGGCGAATTACACTGCTTCGCCTTTGAGGGCAACCTTGCAGTGAGGCGAAGGGCGTTGTGGGTTTGTCTCAAATTGGGAAATGAGCAACGGACAAGATTATCAGCTGTGTAGTGTTGGTTTGGGGAGGACATGGGACGACAACCTAAGTTTTCCACACCGTCGGCGCGAATACCCAACTCTTCCATGTCCTCTTGCGGAAACAAACAATTTTGTCAGGAATTCGCATGGGCACTTCAAATGGTGTATTTCTTTTGGCTTCCCTAAACCAACCAAAACCGGTTCCTGTAAAAAGACACCCTGGTGTATTCCCTCGAACACGGCACCTGACAGGGGGTCCTCGCATGAGGAACAGTATTTGGTACAGCTTTGTTAGTGAGGGAGAGTGTAGATGATTCAGTTGCAAGAAGTGGCGTTGCGTGTTTACCCGTTTTGCAGTAGCGGAAGTGGACAGCAGGCCTTTTCAGCCTCCTGACTCCTGTGAGCTTCAATTGGAAAGAGGGCAGATTGTTGAGCTGCATAGCTCGTTCAGTTGACGGTCAGTCCAAAAGCCACACCTGCCATAAGCCTTCGCTTTCCCCAACGGTCGCAGGCAAAGTGGCTTGACGATGCAGAAATGGAGGCGGCTGGGCGCATGTTGCATACTCTTGACTCCGATGGGCACAAAGTTGGGGATTCTTCATGTGGAAAGCGCAGCTTATTCATCCCTCAGGTTTGCTAGTCCGGGGTTGATCCGGGTTGATATAATGTGGTGACTCGTTTCTGTGAATCAGCTGAATGGGATCCTTCTAGGCTGACCATCACACTTTTTGTGCAAGAGCTTTAGCAGAACTGCAGAACATCAACACGCTGCCGAATGGGCTTTACCTTTGGTTGCCCAAAGAGCACAGCCCCAAAAATCAACCCCCAAAAATGACGCCCAAAAACAACACCCAACAACAAGCCCTAAAAGGGTACCCTCAACAAAGAGACACTCGACACATGCTGAAAGAGTTGCATCCGCCGCAGGCCGCTGAGTTTGGCAAGTTGCAGGGCAGACTACTAGACTCGAGCGGAAAATGTGAGCGTTATTGTTTTAGGCGGTGCGGCATCTTTGGGGTCATATCGTTTTGCAGTGACTTCTCATGTTGTTTTTTGTGGCAAGTGCCGTCAACATCTTTTTAAGTGCTTGACCTGGGCGTCTGGGAAACTGGAGAGAATCATGCACAAGGCTCGTATGCCTTGGCAGTCTCCTGGGGATTCCATATACCTTGCGAGGCCTTCAGCAGCATCCTCCGAACATGTTTCGGCTCAGAGAAGCGGGCTGCTGTGTACAGATTGTAAAACTACGCTTGCCTTTGCGCTTCTCCAATTTATTTAACTTTTTGTGTACGAAACTTGGCTGAGAGTGAAGTTGGGGACCAGTGTTTCAACAAGACGAAGGGGGTCTGCCCAATTTCTCAAAGCATGTACATGTGTATGCGTAGATGCAGTCCATGTAGAGAGTCGCGAGAGTGCAGCACTGCTTGGATCGCATTGAGTTTCGCTTGTGTTTGCGAGCTTGCAGCGTTGTAGGGTACTTTGCTGAGGATGGCCTCCTCATCCCGAGCCACTGTTGCCGCCGCTGCAGGCGCCTGCTGATAGTGGACGGAGGCTAATGTTGGCCCTGAGTTTATCAATTTATGAACCTGGTGGATAAAAGAGGATGTTACTCCCCACCACGAGTGAGGGTTCCCCTCTAAAATGCATTGAGCCCTTTCTATGAACAAGCCAGGTTTTTATTCATCCTGGCTTCCCATTAGCGGACACTTGTGTCTTGCCACCGGCATTGCCCGAGAGTTTATGATCGACAGGCATGGTTGCGGAAAATCGAGCTGGCCATGAAACCAAGGGAGTTCTGTTTGAAATTTTAATGGAGTCATCGTCGGATTGGAATCCATTTTGGTATTATAAGCGGCAACCATTTTCCGGGAAAACCACGTTTTCACCAAGCACCCTCCAAACACACTATCCGCCCAACACAAGTTTTGGGTTGAGAGGTCTTACCCTTCTGGGCGGAGCCGCGTTTGTGTCCGCACCTACTGGACGTGCCGGAAACCTGCGAGCAGCGGTCCCGGACGGGGCGGGGGTAGCAAAGGCAACCGTGGGAGCACCCTCAAGAATTGCTGGCAGACAGAAGTCATAGATCCCATGTACGTGATGTCCACCAAAAGGATCCGACATGGACAGTCATACCCGACAAACCAAATTGCACTTCCTCTTCCCCCGTGGCTTTTTCTACTTGGGGGGGGGTTGTGCCAAACATGGGGCGCCTTTCTGGGAGTAATGTGGGCCTTGTGAAATGGGGGCAGGATGGGATTGCCATGTTGACAGTCCACTTTCTGTTTCCGTGGAAGAAGCTTTGACAGTGATGGAAGATATTTATTGACTCAGTGCTTCCTGAGTTTGATCGATCTTCGCAGCTGGTTTGATTTGCAGCCTTGGCGTCCACAAGTGAAAGCCATTCGCATTTGCTTTAGACCTTTGAGCGGAATCTGAGGCAACCGTCTCCGCAGCAACTCCAGCCTCTGCTCCTGTGTCTGGACCGGAGGCAGCATGCAACGATAGCAAACGTTGAGCGGTGCGCCTTATGCGAAGAGACTCGGTTTGCCGCTTGTAGCTCAAGACTTTAGTTCTTCGCTGTTTCAGCCAGACACAAGGCTCCTGTTTTGTAGCGTGAACATGACCTTCTCGGCCAACTCACAGTGAGCCTCCTTCAAGTGGGGTAATTCTTAGCAGGGAAAAAGGGGGAATTCTGCGATGTGAGAAGACTTGAGGGGCAACTGACGAGGCGAGCAGCGTCGCCAGTATGGCAGTTGCCAGCGCAGCTGTTGCCACCTGTTTTGCCAGCCGCAAGGCGCTGCGCTCGGAGGGGAGCCAATCGAGGGTCAACCAACAGCTGCATTCAACGACTAAAAGTTTTCGCTGTCTGGACGCTTGGAAGTGAGGAAAATCACCATATGAAGGACTTGGTTGCAGCTCGAAACAATGGAGAAGCCAGATTTTCCATAGGCACAGACTTCTTGTGCACGTTTCTGAGGCCATTATCATTTCATGCAGTCATGTGCAGATATGTTTTTGGTTCTTCCACGGCGTTTGGCAAAATGTGAATTATCACTGAAGCATACACTTGCTAAAGCAAATCTGCAAATGCGTACCTGAGTGTGATGTCATGTCATGCAATGACATGTCACATCATTTCATGTCATGTCATGCCACGTAATGTTATGTCATGTCATGCAGTATGAATGATTGCATGTTTTCTTCTTACCGGCTGGCTGTGGTCTTTGTTGACTGGTTGGTAGCAGTTGGCTTGCTCGGCTGGTTGGTTGTTTCGCTTGTTCGGTCGCTGTGTTCATATGCCTGTGCAAGTGACCAGCCATCCACATTACGACTGTTTCATTGCCAACATCAAGCACAGGGCAGTATGTGGAATGTGTAAGGTTTACACTTCAGAGAAGGCACTGATGAGCGATTACTTTGGGAATTGCAAAGCCACGTTGAAAATGGGAGCGTCCAAGGCCGCTGCAAATGCTAAGCATCAGCTGGTGCGCGTCTTAGATCAGCCGGGAGAAAGAACATCAAACTGGTGAGGATAATCACAGATGCGCTTCAGGTGGCCTTGAGTGCCTTTGAGAACGAGCTCGGTGTCCAGGTGCCAGCGGGATTTTGAGCAATCAAGCAGTTTTCATTATTGGCATGTGCAAGCTGAAGGCTATTGGCTGACTTGACTGAACACGGCATCAATTTATATTCCATGCTAAAATATGAACACCTGCTTTTAGGCATGCTGTCATGATGTGATCACATGGTTTGACATACTTGTGCACATTCATCATACTACTAAATAAAGAATTGGCCAAGACTACCAAGACGTGTGTCAACAGATGCACTAAGTTATAGCTTAGTGCAAAGACAGAGGGAAGATGGATAAGAGATGACCTTCATTATCCTATCTATTGGTCATCTCTTTTCCTTACCCGATCACACCCAATAGTAGTGGATGGGGGAATGGTGACTCTTTTACTTTTACCCTCATCAATTTTCAAAATATCTAACATACGAGAATAGCAGAGAAACCATGTTGTGGCAGGCACCAGTTGGATTTTGGGACCCCGCTGGCTTTGCGGCCGATGGCAGCACCGAGAACTTTGCGCGTAGGCGCCAGACGGAATTGAAGCATGGCCGAATCTCCATGCTTGCTACTTGGTCAAAGTTCGGCATCTTCTTGTTTCACCAAAAATGATGGCAGTAGAACAAATCCATATTTGATCTTAGGTTTTGGTTCAAACATTGACCAAGGCTACAATGGGATACATTACCCCCGAGATCACCGGAAAATTCCCGGGCTATTTGAGCCCTTCCGCTGGTCTGAAGTTCGCCGACGTGCCCAATGGCCTGGCCGCAATTTCCAAAGTTCCTGCCGCTGGGTGGGGTCAGATCTTGGCTTACATGGCCTTCTGCGAGGTGTCCCAGGACCAGTCGGCGGGAACTCCTGCTGCGGCGGGTGACTTCGGATTCAAGGTGCTCACCGCATCCGACCCGGAGGCGAAGAAGACGAAGCTAGCGGCCGAGTTGGCGAACGGACGACTGGCGATGATGGCCATCATCGGCATGTTTTTCCAGGCCGATGGATGCAGAGAATTGAGTACGCATGATGTGTTTAAATCTGGATACCCTTGAGAGTCACAAACAACAAAGACGTATTCTATGGTTTTTGGGCCGTTGGCAATGTAGGATGTAATGCATGTCCAATGTGTTTCCGCTGTTTCATGTTATTTGTGCAGTCGTCACCTCGATTTGTACGCCGTTACACCTGTTCAGCGGACAGTAACAGGTTATATGACTACACCTGTTTAGCGGACGGAAACATACTGTCTCTTTTTGGGTTGTTCCCCCAAATACATATTCCACGCGTCAAGTTTCAGACCAGAACATATTCTAAGATTGTAATATCCAAAGTGAACTTGTCACTGGTCAGATCAGACGCCGAAGGTACTTCTGTTTGTTTGATGTGCCCATTTGATATTCTGGCCTTTGATATTCCAAGTACTGGTAGGGGCCAAGTGAAACCTTGCAATGTGGTGGAGTTGCTTTATGTTTTCGTGCGGTATGCAATAGAGCCGCGGCGGACATTCGTGACATACCCGGTTACGTATCAAGACCTGCTGGCTCTTTACACCTTCGCATACCTCACATTGACAACAACGCCTGGCTTGCATGCACTCTCCTTGCATACCCCGATGCACTCTGAGTGATTTCCCAAGGGGCGAGTGCTTGCCCAGAAGAAGACAAGTTGGACCAGGTAGCAGGGGGCTGGGAGAATCCTTTTCTTTGTTTTTGTTACATACCTCGTTGCATCGGCGCTACGCAGCTCATACCCAAATGTCAAGCACCGTTTCCCTGTTACCTCCGTAACGGTCGCGTCTTGCGTTGCATGCCTTCAAACAAGATCATATACTCATTTACCGCAGATTACATCCAAGTTGCCAGGGTGTCGTGGATGTTGTTGCCGGTTCCCTTGTAATATTCAGGAGATTAACCATAGCAGAGAGAGCAAACGAGTGATCAAACTAATTGCATGGCCAAATTGCTGAGCCAACTCTTGCGCAGGGAGCCCTAAGATGCAGGCCACCGAAGGAGGACCACGGGTCCTCAATTGCATGTGAAGCTTATTCAATTTTAGGCACTGCCTTCACCTGCAAAACTGCCCCTAGTCACACACCAAGCAGCTCAGGCAAGGTGATCTGCCCACGACGGATAGGTGGCAGGCAGGCATGTCGCAAGCTAAAGTTGCAGTATCGAGGTTGCTTTGTGCTAGCATCGTTTGTCCCTGGTTGGCCCCAACCCTGGTTGGCCCCAACCCTGGTTGGCCCCAACCCTGGTTGGTTGGTTGGTTGGTTGGTTGGTTGGTTGGTTGGTTGGGTTGGTTTGGTTTGGGTTGGGTTGGGTTGGTTGGTTGGGTTGGTTGGTTGGTTGGTTGGTTGGTTGGTTCGTTGGTTGGTTGGTTGGTGGGTGGGTTGGTTGGGTTGGTTGGGTTGGTTGGTTGGTTAGTTGGCTGGCTGGCTGGTTGGTTGGTTGGGATGGTGTGGGGTGGGTGCGTTGGCTGGGGGTTGGTTCCATGGCAGAGGGGGGGCCTTGGGGTCAGAAAAGAAGGACATGGGTGTGAAGAAAGACAAGAAGGGGGGGTTCAGATGGAAGTGATAGGGGATTCAGAGAACGAGTGCTTGATGGGTAAACAGCAAGAGCGACGAGGGGGGTCAGGAAAAAAGTGGGCGAGAGGTAGCACCGCACCTGGTTGTACTTGGGTACGTTATAGCATTTCAACATTCTCTAGTAGCAATGTTTATTCAGCAACCTTAGCTGTTGCCAATTTTTAAGCTGCGCGCCCAAAAGTGTTCAAGAAAACCTGGAGGCGCCAGTGCCTAGCAAAGGAAAGAGCCAAAGCTGCGGAGTAAAGTGTGCTCACAGTAGCGGAACGAGTTTGGTGGCTGCCTCACGACCTGGAACTGGCCCGTGGTAGCGGAGTGAGTGTGTTGGTTGTGTTTAGAAATTGGTTAACAAGAGTTGGAGCGTGCCAGTGCCTAGCAAAGGAAAGAGCGAGAGCTGCAGCTTGTTCCGAGCAAAACCAGGGCCACGGTCAAGGCTCGTCCAATTTTACGCGACACCGCCTCTGGATACGCCCGAAGCATGTGGATCACCTCCGAATCCTTGCTGCGGGGCTATTGAAGCCGGGCTGCGCGCAGCCTGTGTGAACCGGCCGTGGCAAACCAGTGGAAAGCAATTCTATAGATGCTGCACGGACATGCTGGGTGGGAGTACGTGGGTGAAGCCAGCGGTGACGAAGCAAAAAAGTGTAGAACTCTTGCGAAGCCCCAACACGATCAATTGGTTGGAAACCTACAGGGGGGCATGGACCTCAACCTATGGCTTGTGCAGCATCAATGCGGGGAGCTCGAATCCTTGTGCAGGATGCTTACACCGTTTGATTGTCGGCACAATTAGAACCCGGGCATGTGTGAATGACATTGTGCGCCGAGCCGAGCTGGAAATCAATTGGTTCAGTATTGCAGCAGCTTATCGCACCGGGGGGGCTGTGGCCCGATGAAGAGCCGTGCGCCGAGCATGGGCGTGTGACAGTGCAAGCAGCGATGCATGTTAAGGAGCCTTGGGACTGCCAGCAGGTATTTTTGCTCGCGTCGTGGTGGCCTGGTTCATGCGCGCAGTGTGCAAGATACTGTGGGTCAACGGAGGCATGGAGAGAGTGCGAGTGAAGCGGTGCAGTAAAGGCATTGCACATGCTTGCTTCGCAGGGCACGTGGCGGTGGCATCTCCAGGCTCGATGCATAGAGCAAGAGGGATGGATCGGCGCAACGGCGCCAAAGCCCAGGTGCCATTGGCGCAGGAGTGCCAGGCGCGACGTTGCCGTTGTTCGTCTGTGTGTGTGCGTGTGCGTGTGTTTTCCGGCTGTGTCTTGGCCAGGCGTGCTTCGAGCGGCGGCTGAAGGCACGAGAGACAACGGAGGCTTGGGAACGACATGCAAACCTTGGAGATGGAGAGCTAGCGCGAAAGGTCAAGTGTGCAGCTACAACGGTACTCGCACCAGGCACGAACAAGATCGTCACGGCGACGTTGGAGAAGACCAACGGCAGTCGGGAAGCTGAGTGTCGGGGGTGGCAGAAAACGCAGCGCCCGAGGTCACGCTTTCCAAGAGGCTGCTCAGACTATGAAGAAGTGGATCGAGCGGGAACCTGAGTGAGCACGGTGCATTCCCGTTCGAAAGCTGTCTTTCAGCAGGCTTTCGCGAGGCGGAGGGACCGCCGCCTGCAGCGGAACAGCGTGAGTCAGGTGGGCTGGCCAAAAAACAGTGTACAGCCAAGGGGTAGCAGAATGCCAGGTGACGGATGGTGGCTCCCCAGCAGTCGCCGTGGCGGCGGTAGCCCGCGCTCGGGGAAGTGGCGTGACGGGACAACACAAGTGGAGGAAGGATCAGGAAGAATGCTGAATCGTGCGGCGGCACGGGCGGAAAGCCCGGAGGGCACATTCTTTGTGGCAAGCTGCGTGCTGTGGCTGCAGCATTGGTCAGTTGCAATGACGACACTGGTTCGACTGTGCAGTCTGTGCATGCAACTTTTGCAATGGTGCCATGCAAAGCACGGAAGCCTGCGTTGAAGCAAGCTATAGCTATGGCGGTTGCGCTGCAGCTGCTCATAGCTCCTTTGCAGCAGTTGGCCATGGAGCGCTTACCATTGGACGACTTGGAACAAAATTGGTGGCAAGCAGACAGTCAAGCACCAACAACGTATGGCTACTACGGTCTGGAAGTGATCGTGAAGGACACTGTGCAGCCGGGTGCCGGTGCTGCGGTCGGCGCCGAACACGGCCACATGCAAGGGCAAGACATTTTGCAAGCGCAGCCAGCGTGCGTGTCAGTGCAGAGTGATGGCTGGCAGCGCGCAGAAGGTTGCCAGTTGGCTGGCGAACAGTGCAACGTGTGCGCACCCACAGCGCAACTTGCCACAGATGCACGGAGGCATGTCTGGACCACGAGACGAAGCAACCAGTCATGTGGATGCAGAGGAAAATCGGAGCTGGCAGGAAAGCATGGTTTCACCAACTAGGTTGCCAAGTCAGGATGCTGAGCGCCATGTGGAAGTCACGGGCTTCACACGTGAAGGAAACCCGGCAGACGGTCATTGCTTTTGGCATGCAGTTCGGAACTGCACGGGCGAAGATCCAGCCACAGCAAGGCAAAGCGTCGCCATTTGGCTGGCAAACAGCCCGGAGCACCCAGCATGGGCCACAACGACGAGTTTACTCAACGCAGGCTTGACAACTGAATGGCAGGTAAATGCCAGCGTGCAAGCTTTCCCGGAAGCTTTCAAAGACGGGCTTTGTGTAATGCATGCTCCTTCCAACACGGCCGTGTGGTACCAGCCGTGCACGCAGCCCAGTGTACTGACTTGCAGTGAAGGCAAGCGCATTGGTGTGTCACCAAGCATGCACGCACCTGTCATGTTGCTGTGCACGCAGCCGCCCACTGCTGGCATGGGCCATTTTGAGAGGCTTCGAGAGAAGCGACAGCGACAACCGCCGTCGCATTGCGCTGTCATCAACGTTGCCAAGGGTGCTGGGTGGTATGCTCAGGCCCATAGTCATCGATGCAGACGCAGAACTCGGCGAAGGAAGCCAGACCACTCATGCAACCGCGGCTGCGCTCCACGCAGCAGGCATCCAGGACGTGCGAACATGTGAGGCGGCAGCATT